TAATTAAATGCATTGAACATATAACCAACTCTCATTAGAGGAGCTGGCCACCACTGTATATAGTGGGGTGGGAGGTCAATGGTTCAAACCTTGCCTCCCATCAATATACCTCAATATGAGGAGTGTTCAAAATCCATGTGGGTGAGTAGTGCACCCGTCTAGTCAGATGGTGGTTAAGTCCCCATCAGGTCCCTCGACTCAATTGGCCTACTCCCTAGAGTCGTTTTCCTTAAATAGTAAGTCCCCCCTCCTTAGGAGTAGGAGTAGGCTAGGCTAGGCTAGGCTAGCCGTTGCCCTCTAGAGGGGAAAAAAATGCATTGAACATATATTATGGTTTGGCCAAAACTTGAAGTCTTAGATGCAAGTAAAACAAAGCTTTGCCAGTTAAATACTAACAATTCTTTGCTTTGTTGTTTAAAAACACTCTCAGTTTAGCACCAAAACTTTACCTTAGAAGGAGGTTTTCCAATTTTTGTCCCTTTTGTCCACGAGACTTCTATCTCGAAATTTTCCTGCAATTATCCAAATTCTGAGCCTCTTTCTTGCTTAAAGCTATCAAGATTGTTGAGAAATAAAGGATTATTTTGATGTTTTCAGGCGACACAGAGTCCCTAAACTATATTAAAGGGCAAATAGTATTGCACGGCATAAATTTTAGGTCTACAATAGATTCACTGTGAAATGACAACTATGCATTTCACTGATCAAATATTAAGATCATTTTGAAAAGGTTGAAATGACACGTTTCATGAATAACTTAATGGGTAATTAAAATAGATGCTGTGGTATTATCACTAGCTACTATGGAAAAGAGTGCTAAGTCACATCTACGTTCTAGACTCCTCTCTATTGTATTGGAGAGAATTTCTCTCCATTCCACTTCAATAAAATTAATTTAAAATTTTTTTTTGAAAATACATTTCATCCTTTGTGTTAGCTATGAATAAAACTTTGTATTAAATTGACTAAGTTTTACTCTTTGATTAATCATTACAAATTTTGTATAATTTTTACTCATTTTTCACTATTTAAATTTTTCGTGTAAATTAAATGTCAAAGTATTCTCAAAAGAATATTATTTTTTAGTATGTTGATATAAAGATTAAAAGAAAAATAATAACACGATCAAATAATTTTATAGAGTTATAAAATATTAGACATAAATAAATGGAGGGAATAATAGAGAGAAATTCTATGAAAATATCCTAACTCCACACCTAAAGCACCTATTTCTAGATATGGCCACGGATCCAAAACTGCCAGTTCCGATTTAAAAACTAATGGTTCCAGTTCTTCCTAAAGGCAGAACCTAAACTAGCCTTTATAGGAATGGTTATAGTTAGAGTTGCTGTACTTGAACCTCTAGTTCTGGTTCAGTTTCGGTTCTAATTTTATTCCGGTTTCTTCCGATTACGGTTCCGATTCTTTCAATTATGTTTAAACACTTATTTTTATGAAATTGATTCTAAGAAAATATGACAATGAATGTAGAAAAGAAAGAACCTTATCATATTATCATGTGCAAGGAAAAAAAAGAATGTAAATTTTATTTTAAAAAAATGCCTCGTTTTTTATTAGATTAGATTGATCTTAAACTTGGATCAGTTATGAGGTCTATGCTTACCAATGGGATGGAACAATGACTTGTTGGATTAGGATTAAGGCTACTGGTGTTAGGTGCTAATTATTAATATTGAACTGGTGAAATAGATTTAGGTATCAAGTACTTTTTAAGATGGTTTGAAATAGTTCTAAACCATTGGTTCCAATTTCAATTCAAGTTTTTGGTAAACCTGAACCTGAATCTTTGGTTTTGGTTATGGTTCCGATTCTGGTCCAAAATTCAGTTCTAGATTCAATTCAACAAATCGCTAGTCCGATTCTGATTTAAACCTGAACTGTGGCTACCCTACCTTTTTCTAGTCTACAAAGGCATGAGGAAGTTTCCTTTTGTTTGGGTGGATTAGTTAGTACCAAATTGGAATCTTTTTAATTTATCCCAAGAACAAAAAGATTAGGAAGAAAGACTTCGCATTATTCTTCTTCTCATCATCCATTCGCGCGGCATGATCATTAACAGTTGCAGCACCACTCAATCTATCGATGCTGTGCCGTTTTTCCAGCAAACCACCTGTAGTAATTAACATCCTACAAATGTTAATTATAATGTCTTTTGACTCCTAAGCTGGTCATGACAAGTCTGAAATTATTCCACAATATTACAAAATATAACAATCTGAAATTATTCCCGCAAAATTACATGTTATTCCACAATATTACTTGTGAGGTGCAGTTAGTATGGATCATATCCATACAATCGGCCGGATATAGGGCAACTCTTACAATGTTTTTTCAGTTCAAGAAAAAACATTGAAGCAAAGCAACAAATAATCAATATGATTTACCTTACTAAACAGGGGAAAAAAAAGGGGGGGTACCAAGTGAGAGGAAGAAAAAAAAAATAGAAGCAATGTTGAGGAGTAAATGACAAAATTATGACGAAGTAGAAAGATGGAGTTAGAAGAAGAAAATATGTGAAGAGTATAGAGAAGAAGGATTAATTAAAGTCATTAAATGGAGAGAGTAAAGAGAAGAAATAAAAAATCGTTAGACTGTAGTTTAATTGGAGTTAACAAATAAAGGTAGATTTGACAAATAAGATAAAATAGATGGAGTAAATCCGCTAATTGAAATTTTAATGCTCAATTACGTGCAACAATTTTCAGAAAATTAAGATTTTCTTTATTAACAACCAAAATCTCTGGAAAGATTCAGTTCAGAACCAAAGTTCAAACAAATATTCAAAAAGAGTATAAAAAGTTCATTGCGTTTCAATTGATTTTAAAAAATTGTGCCAAAAATTAATGATGATATAACGTAATAAAGTGCTAAAGTGGATAATTTAGAGGGCAAAATACAAAATGGTGGTACGGTAACAAAGGCTCGTCGCAATCAACCCTTGTTTGATGGATCCAGAGTAGTAATTTGTTGCTTTGCCTAGCGAGGATGGATTACAAATGCTATTAACTTGAGAGAGATCAAATTTAGGAAACCCAACCAAACTTCAGCCAAATGCTTTGGTTTTAGCTTTAAAAAGAGTCCAATGAGAACCAAAACTTTTTGTGGAATACAAAATGATGCAACAAAGCCAACGTTCCAAAAATTGTGGATAAGAAGTTTTGAAGAATACGAATAAATGTACCAAAACTCACGTCTGAAATCTTCAATTACCACGCAGTCGTGGCATGGTCTTCCATTAAGCACCATAGATCAAATAAGTTAGGATTCAAGTGCCTCAATCTTAACTGTCCTAATCGCTTTCAGTTACCTTACTGCTCCACTACCAGTATCATTGGTATTAAGGCAAAAGGTCTTTATGCAAATGAGATTAGGGTCACGTGGTGTTATGGTTCTGACTAGACGAGAGAGTATAAAGAATTAAATACTCTGCGTGGGATTAAATGTTACATTCGATGAGGCCTACCTCTAAAACCTGTGGAACTAATTGCAGAGTCCTTAAATGAGGTTGGATATATGTGAGATTCCAAAGGAAATGAATGATACAGGAATCTAGCTCCGATTATTTAATAAATTGAGTTAATCATTTTAAACTCATGGCTTCGCTCAAAAGTTATTTATGCGAGCCTGTGGACTCGGGGCATTATCTTGTACACTCGAAATATTGTATCAATATATTCCCAAATCTAAATGAGGTGTTGTTTGATAAAACTGAATCTATATTCTGATATCTGAATATTGAAATAATTGATCTGTTGAATTTTAAGTGCTAAAAAAATATATGAATGCTGAACCTATCTATAATGTTTGATAAATATCTAAAACTAAATGATTAATAAGCTAAATTGTGCAATTTTTCCAATCTATCTTTCCATCCTAAAAAAATAGAACCTATGATTTAATTAGCTTGAAATTGTCAAGTATGAAAAGGACAATAATTTTTTTTTAAATCAAATGAACATAAAAGATGAAATGTATTATGGAAAACATTAAAAAAATAATTACTATCCAATAATTCATCTAACCCCAAAAAAAAAAGTCAGAAATGATTGTTTGTAATTACCCAAAAAAAAAAAAAAAGAGTTCGCATCTTTAAACTTTCTTGAAGTTTGAGAAAACTGGGTTTTAACGCTTGATTCTTATCTCTTGACTCTTGATAAATTTTTATAGTAAATTTTATATATACGGTCAAAATATACGCTATCATGGTTGGATAGATGACAAATGAGTAAATTTTGAATTTTAAATTTAATTTTACACATGTATCATATATCTGATGGTGATAGTGTACACACTGACAATGTATATAAAATTAATCTAAATTTTTATTGATATTTTACAGAGACTAGTGCTCAATGCACGTCCAATTTGTGTGCAATCAAAAAAAAAAACATAATACTTGTGATCATATATATTAAATAAAAGTTTTATTACTGAAGCAAACTTTAATCTTTTAAATACTTTTTATAAAATAATTTTATATTAGTAGTTGTAATATTTAGGGTTAGTTATGTTGAAAATATATACTTATAAATGGTAAAAAGAGTCATGAGTAGTTATAGGCAGTTAAAATAAAAGTAATTTTTTATAAGGACAAAAAGGAAAGTTCATAAAGTGTTAACCCCAATATTAACCCCAAATCCCTTCCTCGGGCATTATGTGTGTGTGTGTGTGTGTATATATATATATATATAGTAAGTTTAGATGGTAAAAATGATATTTATATATCTTGTCAAGATGAATATATATACTTCGAGTGGCAACACCTGAAGTGATTAACATCCAGCGGTAGTAAATCCGCTGATTAAAATTAAGTTACATGCAATAATTTTCAGCAGATAGGTATTTGTTTATTAACAACCAAATCTCTGAAAAGATTCAGGTCAGACCCTAAGTTCAAACAAATATTCTTCCTTCAGTATCGGAATCAAAGAGTTTACTCGGTCGTCTTCTGAGTTCACAAATTCACACGTGTTTTGCAGTTGCAACAGTTCAAGAATTAATAATGGAACCAGCCCGTCTCTTTCCAGTCCACCATTGCTACCATTCTCTCGTCAAAATTGGCCACATAATATAATCAAGTGTTCTGATCAGTACCTACTACTACCAAGATGACCGTAAAAGGTGGCACCAGCCCTGCCTGTGCTGCATGCAAATATCAACGGAGAAAGTGCTCATCAGACTGCGTTCTTGCTCCATATTTTCCTGCCAATCAACACAAGTCCTTTCAAAATGCGCATCGGCTCTTTGGGGTGTCCAAGATTGTGAAGATACTCGAGCAGTTAAGCACTCTTGAACAGCAGGAAGAAGCCATGAAATCTATTAAATACGAGTCAGATATGCGGGAAAGATACCCTGTTCACGGCTGTGCAGGGATCGTCCACCACCTTCGTGAACAATTACGACTAGCCACGGAAGAACTTCACTATGTTTATGCACAACTTGCTGCCCATCGCGAACAGATTCCCAATAATCAACAACAGTTGGGCTGTTCTTCTTCGGATTATTCTTCTTCTCATCAGCCTCAGTTACTCCACTCGGGCGTCATGATCAATAACAGTTGCAGCACCACTCAATCTATCGATGCTCTGCCGTTTTTCCAGCATCATTATGCTGGCAGTATGCATGATTGTGAAATGCCTTTTACGATGGATTATTTTCTGGCAAATGAAAATTATGGTGATGATACTGATGCTAATGATGACAAGGGTGTTCGACACCGCGACTCCAATGATCATGTGGCTAAACCTCTACTTGGATTGGAGCCCGTCTACACTAATACGCCTCCCGACCCTTATTGTGATTTGATAAGAAATAACGTTAATTCAGTAGTAGGTAATCAGCCTGAAGTTATTGCCAATTCAAATCAGGCTTTTGGGATTCAACCAGAGATCAAAGTTTTTGATCAGGACTATGAAGACATGCCGCCCTTCAATGCAATGGTGGACGACAGACAATCATATGTTGAAACCAAGGAAGCCTGTGAATCCAGGTATACATATTTATATACATTTGAATACTTCTTGATTAGCACTTGACATTTTTCCCGTAAAATACTAGCTACTCATTTCCAAAAATTTCAATTTATGTCCAGCTCCGTGGAATCATCGTTCAGGGATTTTCCACAACCGGCAGAACAGGAATCAGGGATGGAAAGTGAGTTACGGACTGCTGCGGCCTGCTTTAGCCTTACCAGCGTCAACTAACTAAGACAGGGAGTAAACTTTTTTTTTTTTTTTTTTCTAATTCATACTTCTCTTCCTTCTTCATTTCTTGAATTCTTTTGGAATTTCAATTTTGAGAATTTTTTTGCTCATAGATAAAAAGATTTTGAGTTTCAAATGTTCCATCAGTCAAACTGTGGATATTCGTATTGCCACATAACTAAACAGTCCAAATACAAGAATTCCGATTTGATGCAGGAAAAATATTCTTTGACTGAAACACATTAATCCACAGGAAAACATTCCTGAGGTCGCATGTTTACCTAAAACTGTATACAAATGTTTTGGTTTGCCAACCATGTAAATAAATAGATTATCAGATATAGAAGTCTGCAAACAAGCTGAACAAACCTCTACTTAAAAGGACTGTAAGTACGACGACGTATGAGGATCACCACCCAACAATTCTTAAAGTTTTTTAGCAGTATCTGTCTTCAAGGGAAAGAATTACAAGTCGTGTGTTTTGTTTTGTAACGCTGGGAATTATCATTGAGACTAAGGGCGGAGTCAAGACCACATAGTAAGTGGGGTCAAGTAAAACTTATTTTTTTGGCAGTACGTACATTAAAACTTTTACAAAGCAAAAATTAAAATGTAAAAGTAAAATTTACTAACATTACATACAAATTATAGTTGAATCATATGAGTATTCATCTTCTGAAAATGTTGCAAAATTAATTTATTATCAATTTGGATAAATAGATCTTTTCAATATAAGGAACTAAAGCTCTTGATTTTTTTTTTAAATATTTTACGAATTAATGTTAACTTCATCTTCTATAGATTTTTTTTTTTAAGAAATTGGTTTGAAGAATTGGTTTTTCACTCCACTCAATAAAGCCCATCCCTTATTTTTGGTAATCTAGAAAGAATTATTCTTGAAATAACTTCCATAAATAACTTGAAATAAATTCAAAATTCTTGTGATGGTAACATTTATGAATTTTCAATTGTTTAGAGAATTTGTTAAAAAATTTATTGGGGTCAAATAAGATACAACTTTAAAATTTTCTAAATTTTTCAAGCCTAAAAACTAATTTCTAAAGCTCTTGATTTTTTTTTAAAAAAAATATTTTGCGAATTACTGTTAACTTGATCTTCCATGGATTTTTTTAAGAAATTTGTCTATAGCCTATTGTATATAAAAAATCATAATAACTTAATTTTGTATTATAGATGAAAAAAAAATTAGCATTCACTTGTTTTTGGAAACTTTGAAGTTTGAAAATTTTGGTCTGAAGAATTGGTTTTTCACTCCACTCAATAAAGCCCTTCCCTTATTTTTGGAAATCTAGGAAGAATTATTCTTCAAATAACTTCCATAAATAACTTGATATAAATTCAAAATTCTTATGATGGTAACAATTATGAATTTTCAATTGTTAAGGGATCCATTTTCAATTGTTTAAAGAATTTGTTAAAATTTAGTGGGCCAAATAAGATACAACTTTAAAATTTTCTAAATTTTCCAAGCCTAAAAACCAATTTGTCCATAGTTAAGTGGGGTCAATTGACCCCACTTGCTTACCCGTGGCTCCTCCACTGATTGAGATTGAGACGGTTTTCGAATCCGTGAATTTTTTACCTTTTTCTTCTTCTTCTTTTTCACCCCCACCTCCTTGCCAAAACATAATGCGAGGAATCAAATTTCTATAGTTAAGTATTAAGTAACATCTTAGAATTTACACCGTAAATGACCGTAAAATTTGGAATTTGAGATAGGTCAAGACTGAGAAGATCAATGGTTGTGCATCACATTACAAAAGTGATTAATTAAATGTATTGAACATTTATATTAAGGTTTGGTCCAAACTTGGGCCTTAGATGCAAATAATGCAAGTTTTGACTGTTAATTACTAGCAGGTTTAGTAACTTTCCGAGATTAGAACGGCGTAAGGGATTTTCCAATTTTTTTTTTTTTCCCCTTCTCTTCTCAAGGCTACCCTCTCAAAATGTTCATGCGATTGTCCAAAATCTAAACAGTCTTTCTTGCTTAAAAAGCTCTCAAAATCACTAAGAAATAAATAAAACCACAGGAGGGTTGCACGATTCTTTTGAAATTTTAGGAAGGTCATATCAAATTCTACAAAATCATAGAGGGTTACATGTAATTTGTCCGATTTATTATCACATCTTTCAATCACTTTTTTTATTTCAGATACATCATACATCACATCTTTCAAAAAAAAAATATAACAATATATTTTTCTATAAAAATTTCCAAACAATTACAATCCAAACGAGCTCTTAAACTGTTGCACTGTCAAAAAAGTGATAATCAAATCTTCGTTCGTATAAATTGCTTACGCGACATTCCCTTCTTAGCCAATTCGGCAAATGCCCATTCGCACATAAAAATAAGTATCCGAGTGTAACGGAATTGACCATTTTTTTTTCCTCTTAATTCTGCAATCAGATCCAATATAGTATGCGGACGAAATGATTTTAGTACAGAAGACTCGTTGATACGCGACTTGTTTTCTAGTAATATGCTCAGATTCCAAGTCTAAGCACAAGATGGAAAATGAGTGCCATCTTGGCCCATATGAGACCGATTGTTGTGGTGGTGGTAGGGCTGTCAACGGGTCGGGTCCTGGCCGAAATTCATTATTTTGGATCCGGACCCGAATTACTATGCCGGATCCGGATTCGATCCGTTTACCCGACGGGTCTTTTATTCTATGTTTCGGATCCGGATCCGGCGGGTCCCGGATCCGGATCCGGGTCTACCCGAACAAATTTACCAAATTTTATAATTTCTAATAAAAATGAGAAAAAAATATATTTGTAAACTAATTTCTAACTAATGTAAAGAAAAAACCAAATAAGAAAAGAAATCAAATTAATTTTATTAAAATACATCACCATAATTAAATTATATTGATAAATATATATTTTTTAAATTATTAATTCATTTATATCCGGATCCGGGTCTAATACGGGTCGGAATACTATATTCCGTATCCGACCCGTTTTTTTGTTTGACAAAACGGATCCGGATCCGGAAAATGGAATTAAATCCCTACCCATACCCGCAATAATTTCACGGATCCGGTCCGGATCCGGGTCTAGACCCGACCCGTTGACAGACCTAGGTGGTGGTCCTTTTTTTTTTTTTTAATACGATAGAATTTCTATAATTTAAACTAGTCTATTCTAAGAAGGAAGGGGAGGGGATTCGATATGAGTAGAAACTCCGTCGAAACTAGTTAATAAAAATCGTCACATATTATAATAAATTTTATGAAAGACAAGATTCGAATTCTTAATCTTTCGCGTCACCAAGCCTAAAAAGGCTTGGAATGACCATTGGGCCTTGGCTTGTGGTGGTGGTCCATGGTGAACTGAATCTTCCACTTTTAGATTTTGCTGCACCAGGTGACATTTTTCCCAACGCAGAAACGTCTCTTTTTAAGTCTGTCACGATTTCCTCGACTGGAGTTGGGTGTCAGTGCCACTGTAGGAGCAGGAAAATCCTGCCTGGAAAACTGGAAAGATAGCTGATCTCTTTTTCACGTCTTGAAAAGTCTGTTTTCCACTTATGATAAAAAGTGTAAAAATAGTAGCTGACAAAGTCCCTAGGAAGTGAATTCCTTCTGTTTGGGACGACTGTTTTTGTTCAGTACCAAATGGGGATCTTTTTTGTTTGTCCCAAAAAGATTAGAAAGAAAGACTCACTCAGGTCAGGAGGCCTTTTGCTTCTCCCATTCATAATAAGGGATAATTTCAAAAACTTCAGAGGAGGTTTTTGACAATTTTATTGAACTCTTTTGTAATTTGAAAAAGTACACTTAATTTCCTTGATTTGATAGTTTTAATAATAAAATCTTAAAATAATATCCAAAAATACTCTTGTGTAATGAATTTTAATTTATTTTCCTACATTATAAATAAAATGTGCCAAATTTTTCATGTTCATATCTACTAGAAACAACTATAATAATAATTTTCTTGGTGGGATTATCATAATTTAGTAGTGCTTTTGGTCCATTTCTTTTTGATTTATTATTAATTTTAATACCAATAAATAGAAAACAAAGATCAATATAAAATTAAGTCGTCAAAAAAATCACTAGTCCGACATTTGATTATAATATAAACTAGAGGCAATAGAAGTAGTTCTATAATTTTATTGGCAAAAAATTTAAAAAAAAAAGAATAAGAAGGAAAAAGAATAAAAAAATAATTTTAAAACTCATTCTAAGTATAAGCATATCAAATAAGAGAATTTCATTAAACTATTTAAGAGTAAAATTGTTATTTTAAATAATAAGGGAGATATGTATAATTATTCAAACCTCAAGGGAGCTTAGTGAAATTATCTGGGGAGGTTTCTAAAATTATCCCCCATAATAATGCATCCTTCTTTTTTTTCCCCCCTTGTAAAGTGCTAAAGTAGATTTAGTTCTACGTCAGCACGGTAGCCTCGGAACTAGAAAACCCTGAAATTACATACATGAATACATGCAATTACTGAATGGTCGGATATGCACTCATTTCTTCATTCAAGAAAACATATATTACTCCATTTACTTATCCTTTCTTTTCTGTCTTTCTTTTCTTGCCCTTTTGTGAAAATTGTGGACTTTGTCCCATCCCATCAAAGAGGGCCACATGATTTTGATCTTTATTAGATTTATTGAAGTAGCAGGACTTCAGTTAAAGTAAAATTGTTATCGTAGAAACACGAGACCAACCAGAGAAATGTTGCCATGCGTGAAAATTTAAAAAGTCTTCTTTTTTTATTATTATTTTTTGTTCCTTCGAAAAAAGGAATCAGGAAAACCTGAAATTAAGGATATTTAGAATCCAAAAGTAGGTCTGTCAATCGCACCTAATGAGCCCGATTTTGATAAGTTTAAATTTAACTCATTTAATTTGAAACATTTTCGAGCTTCGAGCTATGAGTTTCGAGTTCATAAATGTGAATCTCATATTCAACTCACATAATATTCGGATTGTGAGCCTTAATCGGGTTTAGC